GAGAGAGAGAGAGAGAGAGAGAGAGAGAGAGAGAGAGAGAGAGAGAAGGAAGAAAAGAAAGGCATGGAATTCTTCGTCGATAGGTGACAAAATTGACTGGTTAATATAGTATAGTAGTATGATAATAATAAGGCAATTACTATCATTATCAACCAAACGACGATAATGGTGATGTGGTGTATATGCAGAGTGCGCGAACCCTTTATCCATGAATTCGTTTGATTCGAATAGATGTTTGATAGAAGTCCACCGCACAGCATTATTTCTCGCTTGGCTTCCTTAATCCTGTTCTGTCAACTCACTCTGTGTGCGTGTTACAGTCCAGTCGCTCTCCTTGGTCACGCCCTCTCTCTGCGGCAGCCGTGTTTCACGGACTCCAATCAATTGCTGGTGAGGGAGGTACCCTCATGAGATACTTGCTCTCGTGTCAAACGCAGGGCAGAAGAATCCCTCTGTGCTGAAGTGCTGGTGGAGATTCCTACCGGTCGACAGCGATGAAGATGGCTTTCGATAAAAGATGATTCTTTAAAGATGTCTGCTACGAGGCGTTGTGCAAGATGATGTATCTGCTATGGTCGTCTATGGAAGGAATGAAAAGTGGCATTGTGACTCTTGCTTGTTCCTATTTTGTGCACTTTCTTACTGTGCTTTTACTGTACGTTTACTGTACTTTTACTGTACTTTACTGTACTTTTACTGTACTTGACTGTACTTTTACTGTACTTTACGTTTACTGTCACTATACTTTTACTGTACTGTACTGTACCTTACGTTTACTGTCAATATACTTTTACTGTACTTTATGGTACTTTACGTTTACTGTCACTATACTTTTACTGTACTTTACATTTACTGTCAAGGGATCAAATCCCTTTTTCCGCTCGCCAGCTGTTCACCTGTGTCGGGTACAGATTTGATGAGGGTGCAGATATCAGAAATGAACACCATGCAAGAAACATAATGTAAATTTCAAATGAAATCGACACAGTACACGAAGTGTACAAGTACAACAAACGCATTCTCTCTGGTGGGTATGGCACCCCGACCGGTTTCAACTGCTGCCACGCGGTCTTCCTCGGGGGGAATCCACCAAACCTCTCCCTAACACCTTGCGTACTTCCCACAATCCCGCTTCTGTCGCCATTACTCCGACCATCTCCGGAGATGGCGGGTTTCGTCAACGTCAGACCCAAAAAAACGACCTTCGACAACGTTATCAATTTAC